TATTAAAAAGTAGTAAAATATCCCAAAAAATAACAATAGAGGATAAAAAAGCAGCTGAGCTGTTCCAGCAAGACAAAAACAGCAATAAAACCTCTTTTGAAGTCGTTATTACCTGTATGTATGTGACAGTGTTTTATTTTTGTATTTTGATAAAATTTGTGTAAATAATTTTCTTATTTTATTGATAATAAACTCAATTAATCAATCATTTTGTTTTAGTATAAATGCGTCGTATTCTAGAAACCTCACTAAAGTGAAATGATCCCACGTCTCATCGGCCATAGCACGACAGGGGCAAAGCTCTGAGAATACCCTGGTATCTAATACCAATACTAAGTTAATTTATGTAGGTCGCTCAACAAAAATTGAGACGAACATCCGAACATGTACAGTCAGCGTCAAATAGTTCTTGACATCCAAAGTAAGTAGGTAGTCCAAGTATTACTTTTCTCTATGAGGTAGTCAATAAGAAAGAAAGAAAGAAAGAAACATTTATTGCCATGGACATCACAGAAGACAAAAGATGTAAATAATAGAAAAAAAAGTAAATAAGACATAGGTGACATAAAATAAAACATACAATGAAAGTGAAAGTAAAACTGAGCAGTGCCACCCTGTCGCACAGCGATGTCCATCGCAATGGGACCCCACTCAGCATATGCCATGGCCCCCGGTGAGAGAGGCTACGACGCTGGTTTTCAGTGTGCCCCATGCCGAGTGGGAGTCACGGACACTAACCTATACTGCATAAAATATACATACATAAATAATAATAATAGTGCGCGTATAAATTTTAAGTGTAAGTACCTACAGTATAATATTATTATAAAGAAAAGATGTAATAAGATATTATAAATAAAACGATAATATTTGAAAAACAAAACTGTGTGGGTGTACATAATAAATAAATAAATAAATAAACAATAAGGATTATGGACGCTATTTAGACGTTTCGTGCCGCGCGTTTGCCGTGCGTTTGCAAGACACGGTAAATTGGCACTTCATTCTGGTCTTAAAAACTTAAGTAAATTTAAATTATAGCCTGACCAGGAACATAAAAACCCTCGCCATGTTGCGGAAAACTAATGGTACTAATTTCTTTTAATGGCAACAGTAACTGAAAACTTCATTGACATGTCACCTTGCATGTCAGTCTATTGTTGTCAAAGTGTAAACAAACTTTATTTTAAATGTGTGCAATTGATTTTGTGAATTAAATTGCTAAAATATTTTTATAGTCGTGAAAGAAAAGTGGTTCACAATGTGTTAATGTATTTGTCGAAGAGAAATACTAAGGGTTCGGACAATATTTTCATTGAATAATGTTTCCGACAAAGGTTGTCAAATTGACTGACATGTTTATCGTATAGTACAGTCCACTATGAAAATTAGCTGTAGTCTGTTTCAACTACCTATTTTAAAGTTTTTTGTCACTTTCTAAGTTTTGAATTTTATGGAATTGGGAAAGAAGTACCGAGTTTGAAGCGTTCATGAGCAGACATTGCAGTTGAATATTCAAGTTCTGAATTTGATTATTGATGAATAATAAAATAAATCCTACTAGCTCGATTGATGGTTTCATTTAATTTATTTAAACCAGGTTACCTTTAATAATACTTTTTCGGTAATTTATGAAAATATCAAATTAGCCCGTAATCCTGAATCCTGATACATAAATTTAGCCTATTAATTTAACACATGTACGACTGTACTCAGTGTTGCACTATCAAATGCAATTGAGGCGCCTCTATGCCAGGGTTTTTATGTTCCTGGTCAGGCTATACTTGTAATTATGATTTTTGGTTGTATTTTCTGAAAAAAGTAGTTTGAGTTGACAAAATAGTAACGTCACTGGCTAGTATTGCCATACAAAATCTATGGGAGAATCTCGTGTTGACAGGTTAAAAAAGTAATAAACTATGAAAAATCACGGAACACACATGGGGGTGATTCGGGTAGCTTCCATATCTGTGGGGTAGCTGCTCTGGTGATGCTTATAGATGATATAGATGACCCACGCTGAACTGTCCCACCAAACTCAATGACAGGGGGGCGCTACCATCGTTCAACTATATGGTTTCCAACATGGCAAAAATCGGAACCAGCGATCCGGTATTGACGGTGGCGCCCCACTGTCAATGTCATCGACAGGACAGTCCAGTATTTTGGAACTATACCTCTGGGCTTCGGCTTGACATTTCTTTTAGGGACACCCTGTATAATCAGTGTTGCTAGGAAATAAGTGTATTAGTACAGAATAATAATAAGTACTGTATTAGTACCGAAATAATTTCTACTCTTTTATGACGCTCTGTACTGAAATAATTAAATTCTACTCTTTACTTTTACTTTTAGTATGATTATTACTATAAAACCGTTAACGTTAATACCGTTGTCCGTTACATACCGGCTAAAATGTGTAGTTCCATTGCCACAAGTAATGAAGAATTTTTGACACATGTCAAATAAATTATTCTTTTTTGCGGCAACACAGTTCCTTTTTATTGTCGACGGCTAAAAGAGAATGTGAGTTTCGGGATTTTTAGAAAAATATCCATGAAAATCTTGACCGAATGCTAATTTGTCTGACTAAAACTTTCACAAAAGTGTAGTTCGTGAGCTTTCCTTCCTGGAAGTACCATGATTTTTTCAACTTTACGAAAAAATCGCGACGAAAACTTGTATTTCAGATTGTGATGTTATTCAGTTTTCAGTGGTTATTTGCTAATACGTGCAATATATTACACGAGTAAACAGTAAACGAAAGTGTAGCTAGTGCGATTTGTGAACCTGTGGAGGTTGATGAGATTTTTTGGAGGTTTTTGAATGTTTTGGTAAGGTTAGTTTTTGTTGTTTGCAGATCCATCAAAGATGGGTAAGATTATGAAACCTGGGAAGGTGGTGCTGGTCCTCAGTGGCCGGTACGCGGGCCGCAAGGCCATCGTAGTCAAAAACTACGACGAGGGCACGTCTGACAAGCCCTACGGACACGCTTTCGTCGCCGGCATCGACAGGTATCCCCGCAAAGTTCACAAGAGGATGGGCAAAAACAAAATCCACAAGCGCTCGAAAGTCAAGCCTTTCGTAAAGGTGAGTTATCTTGCATTTTTAACTTGTAATCGGTTGTCAACATACAAAATTAACCTCAAAACAATGATCAACATTGAAGATGAATCTGCTTGTATGTGATTTTAAAACAGAACATAGTTCCTAATCGAATACTAAGAAGTTATAGAATTCGTCGATCGTAAAATAATAAGTCAACCTTAATTGGTCTATTCCACTTTGATCACCCAGGTGATCAAAGTGGACTTCAAGCGACAGTTTGGTGTCCTTTGATCACCCATGGATAAGATGACCTGGCTGATCCAAGTAGTCTCCAGTTAAATTATCACACCTCTGAATAGTCACATGTAGAGATGAAACGGATAGTGGTTTGGCCGGATACCGGATACCGGATATCCGGCGAGCTGCTAGGCCGGATAGCCGGATATCCGGCGGCAGGATAGTTGGCCCATTGTCTCGTTTTATGTCGTGACGAGTTTAGCGCCGGACAGGTGCTTCGAACGCGATCAGTGGGTCTAGTAGACCAAACAAGTCACACTTTTCGAAAATCGAATCCGTCCGAATAGAATGTCAGATTTTGCCACTTGTCTAGGGGGCAGATCGATTCGGGCGATTCCGGTTGCAATCGTGAGTGTGTGGTTGAATAGAGAAAATTAAATCAGTTTACTTGCTGTGTTATCTGACTGAACTGCACCATTTCATCAGACCATCAGTGAAAAAAAGATCGCCTATTTTAATTGGCTATATTTCGACATTAACAGATATTAATTTATTTAGTATTCGTCATTAGAGTGAATAGCCCAGAAAAAGAAATTAGTTTTATGAAAGGTCTTAATTAATATGGCTTTTTTGTAACTTTTTGGACTTTAACTATTATAAGCCTTTTTATTGATATTTTACCTCAAAGATTAATGTATTTCATTTTATTAAAGGAAATTGTCGTAGTTTTTTAATATCCGGTATCCGGCCGGATAGTGAGTTAATATCCGGTATCCGGCCGGATAGTAAATTTAGGCCGGATATCCGGCCTACCGGATAGTTACCGGATATCCGTTTCATCTCTAGTCACATGTCCATTTGTTTGTTGCGATTTTTAGAGTATATCAGAAAATATTACAAAACAAAAGTTGACTAATCAGATGTGGGATTTATTTAAAGTAAAATAACGATTATAACTGAAATGAACATTGATCACCCACCCAGGTTATCATAAACATGGGTGATCAAAGTGGAATAGGCCACTTATTTAACCTTAATAACTTATGTAGAAACTGGCTTATTAATTGATGAACATTTTGAATTTTTACTTTAAACATAAATAAAGATTATTTTAGATTGTGGAAAACCTTGGAGGAGGCCTTTGTCCAGCAGTGGACGTCATTCGGCTGAAATGAACGAACAAACGTAACATTATTTGCTTATTATTGATAAAGGAGCAAAATGCATTCACATTTTAAAGTTTGTGCATCATTTGTCTACACAGTGTTACAATGTATTTTTTCTTGTTCCAGCTGGTCAACTACAACCACCTCATGCCAACCCGTTACTCAGTTGACTTCAGCTTTGAGAAGTTCAGCGCAAAGGACCTGAAAGACCCCGCCAAGCGCAAGAAGCTCAGATTCAACACGCGAGTACGCTTCGAAGAGAGATACAAGAGCGGAAAGAACAAGTGGTTCTTCCAGAAGCTTAGGTTCTAAGGTGTACTTTTAAAATAAAAAGTTACTGACGTAACACAGTTTGGCTTTTGATTTCATATCCATTATTCTATTAGTGAAGTCTTCTCAATTTTATATTAATTTTTCAGTACACTATTGAGTTTTGATTTATTTACTTTTCATACAGATTGCTTAATTTTTTGATCTGGTTTGTCCATGAACCACGAAAGTAAAATCATTATTTCAAAATATGATGCCGACTAAAATGAAAGAACAACATTCTGTATAATATTATAGCTTTTATTATCATTTAAATAAATTAATTTTAAGCAGTCTAACTTACATTATTATGACATTATAATGGGTTTAGCTTTACATAAAGATACTATAAATTCTTAACAATGAGATTTGAAGGTCCCTAGTCATAATTGGTAGCTGTTGTGATTTCTGGCACTAAATTATGTAAAAAAATCTCAATTTGATTAAATACTTTGACAGCAACAAATAACATGATAGTGCTGATTCGTAACATACAGCCAGAAATGACTGTTTTAAGTAATGCACATAACATAGAACGACACATCAAAAACCAGAATATTTGTTGAGCACAAGGAAATTAAATTAAATATGTATTTCTATCACAATACTGGACATCATGTTGATAATACAGTTGAAAGGTATAGTAATTTAAATATGATAATGCCTGAAATCCCAACACAAAATGCTTTTTACTTATCAAGAATGTATCACAAAGATGATGCTGTTACAATCATTTGTTCCTATGAACAAAGCCAGAATAACTATGTTTGGTATATTATTGTGACACATTCCCACGTGGACACAGTTGCAAACTGACACAATACAGTCAGTCGAATAAATGAAAGTGAAATGAAAAATATGAACATTAAAATAACTATATTTTATTACAATTAAAAACAAAATTGAACAGAAATAAGCATCTTCGCGTACTTTCCTTAAATCAATAAAATAACCTAAACATAAAATAGACCAATCAATAAATTTTACCTTGGCTTTTATGAAGGGTTAGGAGGTCAGCTAAAATTCAGATTTCGTGACGTTTCCGCACATAGATATGGAAAGACTAGCGGCCGCCCGCGACTTCGTACGCGTGGATCCCGTTTTATTACCCCCTTCATCTATCTTACGCGGTTTAGATTTTTTCATACAAAGTTATTACTTTAGTTTTACTACGTTAAACTAAATTAAATTGTGTATGGGACCAAATGGCAAGTATCTACTATCGAACAAAAAAGAGTCACTCAAATCGGACGAGAAATCTTCAAGTAATCGGTGAACATCGATTACTTAAAGTTACCTAGACGACGTAATTGTCACGAACAAAGTGTTCAAATGAGCATGCTAAAAACTAACTAATCCGAATCTAGATTTATTCTGTGATATAATAGAAAATGCTTTACGTTTGCTATAGGCACAGTTTGACACATATTTTTGGCATACTTAGTAACTTCACACTATCGATATTTTATTAGATCTGCTTGTGGTCGGGACAGGAACCGTGATATCCAGCCCGACCACAATCGAACTCTTATTACTCAAAAAGTACAAGGCACAAATTCTTGGGATAAGTGGCACAGTAAAAACTCCGTTCCATGTCGTGGTCGGGTCAGGAATCACAACACGATAGTCTAACACCCAGACCGGTCACAGAAATTAAAATGCATCATTTCAATTTCTGCCCGGCCGAGAATCGAACCCGGGACCTCTCGGCATAGTAGTCCGTTCTGAACCGCTACACCAAACGGCAGACGAATACATACCCATGACAATTAACACATTTTATTATTATTTTTTTTCATTAAAACATTTAACTGATGATACAATAATTGATGTGACCAGGTGGGAATGTGTCTGATTGAAAATGTGTCCCGTTGAAATTGTGTCTCGTTGGAACCAAATCATTATTGTGTATGGGCTGGTCAAGATAGAGGAACAACTGCCAAGACACAAGTTTATAATTTTTGAAAGTTCATTTTATTCTACTACATTTACTAATTGAAAGTATCTAGCAATAAAGGTTTCCGATGTGTCGTCCCATCTAACAAAAGGCCTAAACCACGCGTCATCACGCCGCCGCGATCTTAGCGATCCTTTCGTCCAGCTTCTTGATTTCCTTGTGCAGGCTGTCGACGTTATGCGCGAACACCTCTTGCACGCCCTGCAAGAGTTCCTTATTATTCTGGACGCCGCCGGCGATCGTGCTTTGTAGTGTCTCCAGCTCCGTCAGGGATTTGCCGAAGTTGCTTGCTGCAAACAAAAACAAACATTTATTTTGCCGCCGTAAAAGTGTTGTCACGACAACAAGGAGTTGACTTATCGCAGGGGTTAAGTTGTCGTAGGGTTGAATTGACGGGGTCGAGTTGTCCCGAAGTTGCGATGTCGTAGAATCCTTAAAAGTTACAAGCCAGCCCCCCTAGTCATGTTAGACTTTTTGATCGAATCCGTCATAACTCCATACAAAAAAAGGCTTCGACCATTTTGCGACTGGTTTGGGATTTTATTATGCACTTTGTCTATAAGGCCTACTCAGCATACTCTGGCCATACTGAACTTATTTTCAACTTTAAATTCATAAAAATGTAGAATATAAAAGGTAGGTAAATTTTCACCTTGATTGTGTAACGCTTCTAGTGCCTCCATACGCTCCAGGATCTCGGAATGTGATATGCCATCTATTTGTTTCAATAGCTTGTACAACTCATTGACCTGGAAAATGAAATGAATACTTGAGGTATACAAGGAAATATTCGACAGTGTGTAATCACTTTTGTGACATCGTGACCTTCGTGGTAAAAGGACCTGGGCCCTGATATCGCTAAAACTGTTCAACTGCAACGCACCTGGACGACGAACGAAAATCAGCTGTTGCTCCAAGTGATGTAGAGCGCTGACCTAAGCTGTCATCATCAGCGGCTATTAGTGACCCGAAATCCGAATATCCGGTTGAGGTCATGTCTAGGACATGGAGTCTTTGTTAGTAAATCGGTGATGCATTTCTTCAGTAGCTCACTTTGGCGTTCCATTTCAGGGTAACCTAATTATGTAAGTACGTCTTCAATATTTTTTTTTATTTAGTCAGCAGTATCGTGACGATTGGCGACAAGGGACTATTCCCACCGTTGCAGAGTAGCCAGGATCCACAGCTTGACCGCCAATTAAAACCGAACCAGTGAAAATCAAGTTCGTCCCGGGAGAAAGTTAAACTGACGCTTGGACAGTGTTGTAAGGCTCTCACGGTAGGACCCAAAAGATAAGGAGACATGTTAAGTGCCCATAAGGGCTATCTTCTTTTTTACTGTATTTGACGTTCTGCTTATTAAATGACCTGCCTATTGTCACTTCAGCTTGCTAATCTGTCGGGCTATGTCAGCGACTTTAATTCGTTTACGGATCTCGGATGGCGCCGGACGGCCGATGGGGCATTAAGTTTCTGGAGTGGAGGCCCCGTACCGGAAAACGCCACCCACAAGGACCGACGACATCATAAAGGTAGCAGGAAGGCGCTGGACGCAGGCTGCTACCAACCGGGCAACATGGAAAGCATTGGGCGAGGCCTATGTTCAGCAGTGGACGTCTTATGGCTGAGATGATGATGATGATTTGACGTTCATAAGTGCCACCACTATACTTTCCAAAATAAAGTGCTGAAAATCTTGAGTTATGCACCTTGGTTTACAAAGTCCACTGAAGTGCATGAATACCTGGAGATACCAAACGTCAAAGAGGTTGTAGATAAGTCCTGTAGGGCTTACAAACAGAGACTTCAGCGTCATGAAAATGTACTTGCTACATCCCTTCTAAATCCTGAGAATTCTACATTCAGGCTCAGGAGAAAGCGAATAGCATCGATCTGAAGAGTTATTGTAAAGGAAACGAGGTGACACATCATGGGATGTTCAGAACCTAAACTGTCATTAATACAAATTCATCCGATCTGATAAAGGCGGCTGATCGCAGATAGAATAAAAAAAAAGTGCCACCACTGGTCAAAAGTGAATAAAATATTTTGATTTTCATTCTCACCTTAGCATCAGCTTCAGGGTCGGCGGGTCGGACGGCAGCCTTGAGCGCGTCGACGTTAGTCAGCAACGCGGCGACCCGCGCGTCCGCCGCTGCCAGCTCGCCGGGTCGCAGCAGCGCCGCCTGCGCCGCTAACGACGCCGCCGCACCGCATAAAGTCGCCTGGATATGAATATTGTTTTAGGGAGTAGATTAAGGCGGCCAACTTTATAATAAGTCAATGCGGGACACCCACCCCTATCCACAAGACTTAGGATTTGTTGGAATTGTTAATGGTGTACTTAAATTAGAAACAAACAACACTACTACCGAATTAACATTTAATAACAGCCGTACACCACACACACACGCTTGATCATATACTGCGGCAACAACGGCGCGCCGCGTCTCGTCATTTGTATTTTGATGTGGAACACTTTTATGCGAGCAAAACGATGGGAAACGAGGAATGCGGGACATACGGGACGCCTCGGTCGATTTGCGGGACTATTTTATTAAATATAGCTTTCCGCCCGCGGCTTCGCCCGCGTGGAATTTTGTCTGTCACAGAAAAACTTTATCGCGCGCGTCCCTGTTTCAAAAACCGGGATAAAAACTATCCTATGTTCTTTCCCGGGACTCAAACTATCTCTATGCCAAATTTCATCAAAATCGGTTGCGAGGTTTAAGCGGGAAAGCGTAACAGACAGACAGACAGAGTTACTTTCGCATTTATAATATTAGTTGGGAAGTTGGGATTGCAATGCGGAATTGCAACTGTCATTACGGGACGGTTGGCCGCCTTAGAGTAGATAGGTCGTTCCGCAAGCTCTATAACTAAAACCACAAGAGTAACACAAGCTGGCTAGCAGCGCACTTTTATTCAACGTTGCGTTTAGGGCGCACCGAGGACACGGTAACTGAGGATGAAGCGCGGAACGCAGCCGCGTATAAAACAAATATGATGTTAGCTGTATTGCTGTCCACAGATATGATGATAAATTGTGTCATTAGGGTAATGAAACTTTTTTTGGGTACTTAAATCCACACAAATATGTTATTGAATTTAATCAAATATTTGTAGGCTTAGATTAATAATCTAAGTTTGTAGGTAACCACAAGACAAAAAACAAATAAAAATGCAAAATCAAATACCTGTCCAGTGACTGCCTGGAGTCTCCTGAATACCTCTTCATCTTTCACACCTGCTACCTGTTCTAGCTTATGAAGTCTGTAAATAAAAATAAAAAAAAGAAAATTAATTGAATGACTAATTCAGACGGTTCCAAAAAGTATTTTTTTTGTCTTTTCTTTCTTAATTATTTCTGTAAGAGCTTACCTATGTTCCAGCTGAGCTATCCTGGTGGTCTGAGCCAGGTTCACTTCTGGCTTCAGCTTCAAATGAGCTGTCACTTGCTCCCCTTTCTTCTTACCACTTACAGTCAGGTACTCCCTGGAAAATTAACATAGGGTTGACTAGAAGAGATCTACAATCTTTGGGTTATAGTTAAGTTTATCAGGTATAAAAACTTTTTTAATTTGATTTAGCTAATGGAACAGCAGCAGCGTGGGATGTCCACCCACAAGGTGTACCGACAACATCATAAAGGTAGCAGGAAGGCGCTGGACGCAGGCCACTACCAACCGGGCAGCATGGAAAGCATTGGGGGAGGCCTATGTTCAGCAGTGAACGTCCTATGGCTGAGATGATGATGATGAGCTAATGGAACAAAAATTATTCTTACTTTAACTTTTCAGCCTTTGGGTCTATATGCTCTCCTTCTTCCAGTTTCAATTCTTCTAGAAGTTTCTTGGTTGAGTTGATTTGAGCTGCCAACTTTGAGAATTCATCCTATAAAAATATTGAAGAGGTATAAACTTTACAGTAAAATGAGTAGGTAATTATGGACAATACACCTCTATTGAAGATTTTGCCCCCAGATAGAATAAAGAATAAAACTTAAAAAAAAAAACTCCTTCAAGTCTGTCAATAATCAACTAACTTAGATTCTTCTTATTGATACACTGTAAATAAATAGGAATTTACTGTACAGGTATGTACCACAATAGATTGTGTATGTTTCACATTAGATTGCAAATGATTATTTAAAATAGTATGAAAAAATATTATTGATTAAGTAATAACTAAATACCCTTTCACTTTCAGTAGCCTTGTTCTGTTGCTCAGTGATTTGCTCTAGAAGTTCAGAAAATTCACAGCGAAGTCTATTGTAGCGCTCCAGTGGAGTCTCTGGTTCTCCTTCTGCTGCTAATTCCCATTCACCAGCTCTGCAATGTAAAAATATTTTGTTTGTATGGAATTGAGATGTTTTTGCACTAAGCCAATGTTTAAAAGTATTCTTTTCTTTATCTTCATTAATTAATATTAAACTTTCTCTTTATAATAACGTTTAAAACTAAAAATTATTAACTGTACAAAGACTGGCTCATTTCTCAAATTGAAAAATAATTTTTGTTCAATTAGATGACTAAATCTTAATATTTTTAGCTGTATAATTTATTTCTAGCACTAACCGGTAGCCGATCCTGGTCTTACGGCTCAGTCTATCCGAGAAATCAACAGCGCCAGTTAGAAATTTCCCTTTGAACTTATTGAAAGAATCCTTCACAGAAAGGTGGAGCTGTTCGATGCACTCGTTTTCTTCCTCCTCATTAGGCTCAGGCTGATCTGCTTCCGGCAAATCACCAGTTTCATACACATCGGGCTGGTCGTACGCCTAAAAAATTGTTATTTATTGAGTCACGATTACCGAATACAATCGATAATTTATACGAGAAAATGTTACTTATAAACTCACTATGCCAGGAAGATTTTCATATTTAGGATCAGCCATTATGTTTTTAAGGAAATGAAGATGGAATTATGTAGGAATTCGTGAAGAAAATCGACTTTTTTGTATTTTTGAGTCCAAAAGGGAATATTTGGCAAAAGAATGACGTCAGTTCGCTACACTGTCACATTGACAGTATTTTTTTTAAATGGTTCGATTCCATGATGAGCGTTCATTCTGTCGTTCGAATCTTTATAAAAAGTTGTTTGAAAAATTGTATAATCTTTAATATCTTTGCCTTATTGACGTGAAATGACGTGCAACATTCAACACGTCATACGTAAACGTGTTCCTTTCTGGGTGAAAATTGAATTTATTGACATATTTGTGCAAACCTATTATTTTCTTCATACCATTTGGTAGGTAATTTATCAGTTTTCATTGATATTGACAAACGTACAATATTTTTTCAAGTTGACCTACAGCTACGTCATTTTTGCCTTTGATTGTCATTTTATGTGTTCTTCCATGAGTCACCGATAATTTTCGACCAAATTCTGAAAACAAGACTACCCTGTTTCACAACGATTCATCACATTCGAGAATTTAAATTGCCGGTGCTGGTGGTACTGTCTTGTAGTGTGAAATAGAAATCCGTAAACATGAGTCTACAGTGGACAATAATCGCGACCTTCTTGTACACCGAAATAGCCGTGGTGTTGCTTCTAACGTTGCCGGTAGCGAGTCCTTCGAGATGGCAGAAGTTTTTCAAATCGAAGTTTCTAGCATACATCGGAAATCAAGCCTACATCTACTTCTTCGTGTTGGTGGGCGTTCTGGTTTTGTGCCTCTTGGATGCCATTCGTGAGATGCAAAAGTACTCGGATGTGGAGAAAACCGACCATCAGCACCTTGACGCGGAGATGCAAGGTAACATGCGCTTGTTCCGTGCTCAGAGGAACTTCTATATCTCCGGTTTCGCGCTGTTTTTGCTTGTTGTGATCCGCCGTTTGGTCCAGATGATCTCGCAGCTGGCTTCGTTGTTGGCGCAGTCAGAGGCTAGTTTCCGCCAGGCGCAGAGTGCGACTGTCGCTGCGAGGAGTCTGCTGCAGAAGCAGGGAGAAGGTGATGCTAGTTCAAAGAAGGAGATGGAAGATCTTCGAAGCCAGATCTCTCTTCTAGAGAAGGAGCTGTCTAAGGAAAAGAAGGACAAGGAAGCAGTCAAGTCCCAAGCTGAGAGCCTGAACAGAGAGTACGACCGTCTCGCTGAGGAACACAGCAAGTTGCAGAAGAAAGTCACCGTAAGCAGCGGCGGAGACGACAAGAAAGATGATTGAATCTAAGAACATAGTTCTGGGCTACTTCTTTCGGTCATTCAATGTCTATGGTCTGAATTCTGCTATTGGTATCAACTTAAAAGACTTATCTTAGTGATAAACTATAAATTACAGTACTAATGCTGTCCAACTGTATTTTTATCTGATAAAGTAATAATCTTTGCAGACTATTTAAATCTACTTTAAAAAAATGCTCTAATGTAAAATTTCTAATAGCTTTTATCTTCAGCAATTTCTTATTAACAGCATTTATAATATTAATGAGATCTTATTGCATTATAAGCATAGCTATTTGAGGTTTGGGTATGTTGAGAGAACAAATATTTTGTTGGTTCAGTCTTGTCAAATTCTACATAAATGTAAGAAAAAAATATTTTTTGCATTCTAGTTATTTACTGACCAAAGGTCAATCTATTCGTTGCTAAAGGTTATTGTCTAATACAAAACCAGTTGATAAGAAGGTATGGTGTATTGTTGACTGTTATTTATCAGTTCGAAGTCCAGTTTTTAATTTTATTTATTCATGTATGAGATTGAAAAGAATGCTTATCTTAGTGTTTGTGACTTAGGCTTGTTTTTATACTGTTTTCCAAATTGTTTGGGTTACTTACATTATGTGGTGTATTTTTTGTGTTAAGGATAGTCTTATTTTTATTTGGAGATGTATCAAAAGGTGTGTCTATTATTATATGATTTTTTGAATATGGTGTCTTTTATTTTGTATCCAAACGTATTTCAAAGTCTGTCTAGGATAGTTTTGTAATTGATGTATTCATTTTTAACTTTATATTATCAGAGGTGTTCTAGTCAAGTTCTGTGAAGATCTTTTTTAGCATGAAAAGGATTATTTTTCCTTATCTTCAAAGACAGACAATAAGGGCTCCATTCTACATCTATGTATACTTCAAGTCATTAAATTAAATTACCTACTTATCTTTCTTTCTTTCACTACTATGCCTGCCTTATGTTCTCAATAATCTTATTCATTTCCAGATGGTAATGCCAAATAAGATCTAGCTATGTGGGTTGATGACATAGAAGACAATGCAGACAAAATTCAGTCATTGCTTGTGGGTGTTGATGAGTCAATATGTCATATCATGCCAGTAGCCACGTCAGTCCAATATATTTCGGCTTTCATCCTGTGGGACTTGGTTGAATTTTTTCATGGTAGGTAGGTACTTCCCTTCTCTCCTTGTGTTAGTTTGTTAGCCATTTATTTTGATGATACCTACACAATGTTATCTAGAGGAGGGCTTTTCCTATGCGCAAGCTAAAACATTTTCATTTTCGAGTGATGCTTTGGGTTTTAGGTGGTTATGAATGCTTCTAGTCGTAAAATTTCGTGTAGGGTAGGTAGAAAACTAGACTAGATAGGTAGGGTAAATAAAAAACAGGTTTTCTTTATCAAGCTCTTTTAATAGTAGGAAATCATTCCTTGCTTAGGAATGATTTGAGGTTTAATAAGATCCTGCAACTGAATATAGGTACATAACCTTGTAATTTAATTATAAAAACAATACATAAGTACATGTTACTGCAATAAAAACATCACAAATACAGTAAGCAGTGCCTACCTTTTACCCTGATCTCAATATGACCATCTTTATACTTATACCCTCCTTTTACAACTCGTCTTTAACATAAACTTGGTATTTCTCATTCTCGATGAATCCAAGACTGTCCCAGAAGGATCTGTGGCCGAAGTCGGAGCTGGCCTTCATCGCAGCCTTGTCGGGGGAGGATATCTCCAGATAGTTGAGTTCTGGGGCGCCAGGTGTCACTGGCTGCCACACTGGACCGTTAGGGAATTTGGGGACACTGAAAAATAAAATTGTCGGGTCCGTGAGCACGTACAATTTTGTCCAATGAGCCCAAGCTACCCATCCTTATCGCTCGCGCGTAATTATGTTGCTATCTCGCTCGCACACTCACTGCGCAGCTGCGGGTGAATTACGCGCGAGCGATAAGGATGGGTAGCTAGGGGTCATTGGACAAAATTCTACATGCTCACGGACCGGGCTTTATTATGTAATGTATAGTAAATTACGATTAGACGAAACCATATTGTCAAACACGTGCCTGAATTTATTCTTGAGTGTAGGTAATCTCATACTAGTGTGTTTGCATAATACCGGCCTGTGATGACGACACACGATCGCCACTTAATTTTTTTTTAGCAAAACAACACTGCTTATTTAGTTGGTAGATACACAAGTTAAAAAAAGCCACGTCAGCCACTGTTTGATGTAACGTTATAGGTAGGTACAACATGATGCAAATCAAAAATAAACAATCCCAGTCGTGTCGTAAAGTGCGTCCACGTCACCGTGAATTAATTAAGTAAGTGTGCTAACTATGATGTCATCGATTTGTAAATAGGACTTATTCATTACGGAAATCTGACCTTTGGCGTTATTGCCTCTTGGACTGATGATTACAGACCGTCTCCAGTTGATAATGGTTGAGGATTCGAATCCCAGCGGGTGTTAGAGTGATTGGTACGAGAATTTGTAACCAGGTCATTCATGGTTGTTTGTCTATTTATTAATTCCTGCATAATTAACCGACGACATCAAGAAAAGAGACAGTGAAACTTTAGGTACCTACTAAAAATATGATTTACTAGCTTTTGCCCGCGGCTTCACCCGAGTGAAATTTAGTTTGTCACACACATCGTCATAAATTATAGCCTAGGTATATGTTATTCTGGGTTATAAACAATAATACTGTAAAGTTTCATCAAAATCCATTCAGTAGTTTTTGCATGAAAGAGTAACAGACATCCAAACTTTCGTATTTATACCAAATATTAATAAGACTAGATAGATACGCTTATTCGCCTCTTACCCAGTGCTAACGTAGCTGTAGACCATATCTAGGAGTCCTTCGATCATTTTCTTATCTGCTGTTTGAGCGAAATCTATTCCGGGGAATTTAAAGATCTGGAGAACATCATCGGCGTGGCTTACACCTGCAAAGAAAAAGGGTTTAATATAATTTTACTCTTAGATAGATATACTTAGCCTCTGTGGTGGCAATGATTATGATCGCTTGGGATTTGGGACTTGCTACGATCATGAGTTCGATTCGCTGTTGGGCACTTGTATAATTGGTATTTCTTTAATTGTTCCCCGCCATCGGTGTCGCGAGATGGAACTCCTAATAAATACGGCTATGCTATTGACGACACCACTCAGTTATAACTTTATTGCCCTTACAAAGAGCTAAAAGTAGGAAAATGCACAGAATTGCAGTAACCTCGCACATCCACACACACACACCACATCCATTAAAATTGAAATTCAATGAAGTTTTGTAGCGTACCTACAATATACAATCATATTTCTTTAAAGGAACTAGAACTAGAAATCTAGAACACAGGACCGTTTTGGCCAGTTTTGGCCGTCTCAAACGGCTGACTGACTGTACCACCATGGACGAAAATATTGTGCAATTATGCGGGTGGGTGAGGAAAATTCTACGCGCCTGAGCAGACGACGCCGCATCTCTTCAGTCTGCCCGCGACCATGACTCGTGCAGCCGAGTCGAAACGTCGGGATGGTAAAATACCTTTTTTAAAAGTGTTTGTGTGTTGCCAATTCCCGTAATACTTAATGACAATTTAGAACCCAGGACTTCCAAATCAAAAAATTCGCGAGAAACTAACTAGGGCGTTAAAGTAACTCACCATAGTTGTTGTCAGTGCCGCTCATAAGCTGGGACAAGCTAGTGGAGCCCCGGTGCGCGAATCGGTAAACATACATCGGCTGGCCGGAGCGCAGCGCGTGGGTGTGCGCCAGTCGTCCCACTTCGGAGCCGAACAGGCGGTCGCCGAGAGCCTGTGTTCAAGTAAGGTAAGTTATCTTCAAGGTATGAATAAAATATAGTTGTTGACAGTGCGGCTCATAACCTGGGACAGGCTGGCGGAGCCTCGGTACACGTGCACCGGCTGGCCGGAGCGGAGTGCGTGGGCGCAGTCGGCCGACCCCACCTCGGAGCCGAAAATTTGTTTTGGGTACTTTCATATGAAAAAAGCTCATAGGATCAGGTACCCTTTTCATTTAAAAATGGCATCTAAAATTCATACGGTCGACTTTATTATTCTTACGATATTTCAGGTTTTATTCAGGAATTGATAATACAAATACCTACTTACTTAAATGTTATATTCATTCGTAGACTAGTATGAAGTACGAACCAATAGTTTCAGGATCAAAAGCTACTGAAACTGGGCAAATGAATGAAGGTGGTAGGTACCTACTTGTAGATAATTCGCAAATTATGACGTTTTATTTTAGTATTCTCGTACCTACACTGCTTTACAAAACTTTTGTTCGCTGTGAAATACGGAAATTCACACATGCATGCTTTGTCCCTGAAACTTGTTGAAAACTGATGGAGAGGGATTGTGAAATTCCTTGCAGAACGTTTCCTTCTCAACAGTTTCAGGAGTTATTCCAACGTAATTTGGAAACGATATTAAAACTTTGTTTGCGAATTAAACGAACTTTCGTAACTTAGGTGGTGCTCGTAAATTACATAAAATCAATAAAACCTTTCTTCAAGGCTTTATCTACTCATCAGGATGGTAACAGTTGGTAATAATAAGTAAAAAAAACTTAATTATAAAAAGAACCTGTCGCACCTTTTCGAAATATGAAGTTCTCTACAATTTGAGTACCCTTTTTGATTATGGTGCCCATGTCGCAGGCAAATTGTATGATTTCGCATTTTACAAACGGCGTCGTCAGTTTACAAACGCTCGCTGTTCTGTGAAATGCCGAAGGCAAATTGGCGACACGTTCAATTGATAAAATTTCGACTATGATTGTTGCAATAGGGTGACCATCATAAAACACATGTTGGATAAATCGGACCTTATTTCAGTAATTTAATTTATTTAAACAGGTTTTAACGCGATACGCAGATAGGTAATCTGAAATATTTCGATCGGCTTGCACAGGCTAGTTCGCGGCACCCAAAGTAGTCAAAAAGTTCATAACACGTCTTTGTTACAATGGAAATAAAGGTTGTGTTGTCAACCTTTGAGTTGTAAAAATATGTAAAGTCTAAAACTAAATGTAGCAATAATAAATTAACATAATTTTAAGAACAAGAACTTTTGCACGTCGCATGCGACAGAATATGCTGGAGTTAATTAAATTAACACCAATCTGTAACCATGTTCTTGCAAATAAATGATTTTATTATTATTTTATTAACTCTTTCGTGTCACGAACTATTTGACGCTGACTTACTCTTCCAATGCGTATTCCGCACACGTTTTATGATTACGTAAATAAATATTCAAGGCGACGTCACATCCGTCCACCGGTTGACGTTACGACAAGGGCTCGCGGTCGGGATGAAATGAAATTTCATATTTCATCTCGTGCTTGATATTTGTAATCGGATTCGAGGGAAGATTGTACAGGCTGTACTTGGAGGCTGTAATACAGGGTGTCCCAAAAACAATGGATAACCCTGTAACCATCAATAGGCCTCGCCATGGTCTCCCTAACGTCCAATTTTAACCCCAGTAAAAATATCACCGTTTTCAAGATTTTTGAGTTTTTGTGCATTTTTAGAAAATTGCCACCTGCGATTACTTTTTCTCATGCCATTTCTACAAATGAGGATACTTTTCAATCTAGTTTTTTTCCTTATCAAAAGGGATAGTTGGGCTATCAAAAGAAAAGATTAAAGTTCAACAAACTAGTTTAAAAGTATGAAAATTTTAAGAAATTGCAGAGAAGAAGGAAAAATTAATTCATTGTCTTGCACATTTGATCAGCCGTCGTGTAAAAAAAATGTAGGAAGACCATCGTGCCCATTACCTTAAAAACTTCCTTGGTTAATTGAGATTCTAAAAAGGTATCACAAGTCTATGTATTCTGTATTATTTTTATCTTATGGCTACTTGAATAGCAACAAGTATGATAACTGCAAAAATGAGTTTTTCTCGTAATAGTGAAACTAGGACTGCATAGTGGCATTAAATACAAATGGATAATTTTTAGCGTAGGAATTTTAATAAAGCAACATTTTATCATCATCATCATTTCAGCCATAGGACGTCCACTGCTGAACATAGGCCTGTACCCCAATGATTTTCATAATGACCGCTTGGTAGCGGCCTGCATCCAGCACCTTTCTGCTTACCTTTATGAGGTCGTCGGTCCACTTTGTAGGTGGACGTCCTACGATGCGCTTTCCGGTACGTAGCCTCCACTTTAACCCTGCTGCCTCAGTTCTGCAAACTACTGTGCCCTGCCCATTGCCACTTCAGCTTACTGATCTGTCGAGCTATGTCAGCGACTTTAGTTCGTTTACGGATCTCCTAATTTCTGATACGGTTTCGTGAAGAAACCCGAGCATAGCCCCTCACAAAAACGCAGAACGGACTGCCAATGGGGCAACAGGGTTCAAGTAGAGACTACGTACCGGAAAGCGCATCGTAGGACGTCCACCTACAAAGTGGACCGACGACCTCATAAAGGTAAGCAGGAAGGTTCTGGGTGCAGGCCGCTACCAAGCGGTCATTATGAAAATCATTGGGGTACAGGCCTATGTTCAGCAGTGGACGTCCTATGGCTGAAATGATGATGATGATGATGATAAAATGTTGCTTTATTAAAATTCCTACGCTAAAAATTATCCATTTGTATTTAATGCCACTATGCAGTCCTAGTTTGACTATTACGAGAAAAACTCATTTTTCCAGTTTTCATACTAGTTGCTATTCAAGTAGCCATAAGATAAAAATAATACAGAATACATAGGTTTGTGATACCTTTTTAGAATCTTAATTAACCAAGGAAGTTTTTAAGGTAATGGGCACGATGGTCTTCCTACATTTTTTTTACACGACGGCTGATCAAATGTGCAAGACAATGAATTAATTTTTCCTTCTTCTCTGCAATTTCTTAAAATTTTCGTACTTTTAAACTAGTTTGTTGAACTTTAATCATTTTTTTTTGATAGCCCAACTATCCCTTGTGATAAGGAAAAAAACTAGATTGAAAAGTATCCTCATTTGTAGAAATGGCATGACAAAAAGTAAACGCAGGTGGCAATTTTCTAAAAATTAACAAAAACTTAAAAATCTTGAAAACGGTGATATTTTTACTGGGGTCAAAATTGGACGTTAGGGAGACCATGGCGAGGCCTATCGATGGTTACAGGGTTATCCATTGTTTTTGGGACACCCTGTATGATCAACCAGAAATTACGGATCGTATCCCGAATTGATGCCTAGCTCTATTCTTGTAATTTCTTTCAAGGTAAAAGTCGAAGACAATTAAATTTTCTTAGCTTAGGTTTACTTAAGTTACTAAATCCAATTACAGCTAATTAAAGACATTTAGATAATAGGTATGTACCTAAGTTATGATGATTCGTAGTAGGGTTTCTGATTTCTCGACTTATTTTTTTTCTCGAGTTTCGAGAATTCTCGAGGCCAAAGTCTCGAGTTTTCTCGGGTCTCGAGTCTTTTAATGAAAACTGCTGAAATGGGATGAAATTTAATAAAAACACAGGTTTTTTTAATCTAATATACCTACTTTTATGCACCACAATCAATATTAGAATTTAGTACCACTTATTTTGGTAAGGAAAGCAACAAAAAATAAAATCTTCTTTCATAATTAATATTTACTAATAATCATAACAAAAGTCATAAAGTCTCTAGTACTTTAAGGATAAATAACAATAAAAGTCTGGAGCTACAATTAAATCACTTGTTTTCTAAAGAACACAAGTCCAAATAGCAAAATTACGATAAATAGTTTTATGAACAAAATTCAAATTCAAATTGTGTTTATTGCGAAATCACAGGTACATAAGTCAGGTCATTAAATTTGAAAAAAAAAAAACTTTTTAATAAATTTTTAAATTTCTTACAGATAACGACTTGAATAAACTTTACGAGGAGGCACGAGTACCTAACCTAACGTCTGTTAGGTAAGGTAACTGTGTAGTTAACAAGTTTTTCAGATCTTTAAATCAGTCAGAGTTAAACATATAATAAATATTTAATACTCGTTGATGAACATTATTATAACTTAGTTTCGATTGAGATCATTACTTGAAAATCAAATCAGTTAAAAAAGGAAAGACTAGGCCAGTCTTAAAGCAACGTTGACCTATTAAATAATTAAAAACTTAATTTTGTCTAAGAAAATAGGCTTTCAAGAATATTAAAGCTTCAAAATCGAAACTCGAGAATTCTCGAGCTCCGGTAATTTTTTTCTCGTCTCGAATGAAGCCAAATTTCTCGAGTTTTCTCGAGTTCGAGAAAGCTCGAGCAGAAACCCTAATTCGTAGGTACCGAGCTATCTACTATATTGTAGGTAGTTGACTCGTCTAAGTGTAGTCAAAAGGATTTTCCTGAAAAACCTAGTTATCCAGCATGTAATCTAAGGCAATAAAATTGCATCATGTGAGCTGTAGGTGGCAATAAAACATGATTCATATAAAATTCGGGAACATTTTTGCTAGTAACGTAGTCGTAGAGTTAGATTATGTAGAAAAGATGTTTGAAAAACTTTTTAAATTTTAATGCTGCAGTAAAAGTAGTTACTAAATTCTGAGTAGTAAGTACTTGTAGCAGCATAGAGGATTAGATGTCAGTAATAACTGTTTGCAATATCAGAAGCGCGAAGTAGTTATCCTGCAAACTCTTCTATTATTAAAACTTTGCAGTTTGCAGCAAAATCCCGAATACGTTTTGCCTGTAAATGCACATTAAGCAGGTAAGTACTTAGTACTATCATTGAAATTAAATGTGGTTATAACGATAGGGTAGGTACAGTATTATAAGGTTTAGCGCTTAACTCGGTTACCTAGTACAGTAATGAGGTATGGGACTTGGGAGCGTCACGGGGGTGGTTTTGTGACGTCAAACGTCAGCGAGACTTCAGATTTGTATGCTCTGTCACGTCATAATAATTATGTCAATATCACCCCTCTCGTGCCAGTCATATACCTCAGGCACTGGCTTTATCACACTCGGTAAGTAAAGGCTTTTGTTTTGTATGCTATAACTAACCTGCACTAACTGCGCGTACGTCTCCTGGCTGACTGGCTTTCCTCCCAAGTACTTCTGCTTTATCTTCGCCGCCACTGCTGGCCTCAGGTGCAGTGGTAGGGTGTCGTTGTACTCGAAGATGTTACTGGCCAGCTGTTCCCAGTGGGACTCCAGATCGGGAAGTATGGTCGGATCCGCTTGGTACGCTGGGGAGAGAATTGGAGCTTTAAAATAAACTACTTAGAACGCTTTATTGCATTATTGAACTTCTTATTACCTATGTTCGTCAGAAATAAAGCAAAAGTTTTTTATACAGTACTTATACCCTTTCCAGGGCGCTTACTTAAAAATAGCTTGCCCTACCACGACTTCGGGACAACATATGGGATGGTGCTTAGAAGAACTGGCGGAAGAAACTCAGTCACCTTTGTCAGCCTCTTTTTCAATCTAGAGAGAGTATCCTCGTTGAGGATAAAAAAAAGAGCCTATGCAATATAAACAAACAATCAAATATATCCTCATTAATATTAGTGTAGGTAGGTAAATGTACCGGTCTTATAGCACACCTTTGCTGTGCAACCATGAGAGCGAAACTCTTTTAATACCTTTAAGTGCGATCATTCTACCACGTTGCTAATGTGAGAATCTGAACACGGATGTGTGTAATACACACTAATTAGGCAAGTGTGTGGCAAGGTTTCGTGATAGTAACTTTTATTTATCCTCAAAGTACCTTTAACTAAGTACTTATTATTATATTAGTCTAGCCAGGTTTTCCAAAGGCTTTATGCTGTTAAGACCCCATTGTTAAAAACGTAGAAGGAATCAAAGTTGGTCGGCTTTTATAATAAAGGTTAACTGTTACAGTTCATTTGTGGTTTACATGCAACTTTTTTTTAAATATCCGCATTTTCGCTAATGAGTTTACTTGTTGCGTTATTAAGGCTTTGAATTAACTGCAGACATGGGAAAATGGTACGTAATTAACTGTCCAAGGTTTGTTTACAGAATTTTAATGACCCTTGTAGGGATTGTCAGCCTGTTTTTTCCGTCGGAAGCCTTTGATAAGCTTATTTATTAATAAGTATTTGTATCAAAGAGGAATGAAAGTACCTAATTATTTGAACACCCACTTATTTGCCATGGCCCATTTCATAGATAGCTGTGAAACGTGTAGGCACTACTATGAATGGAATGAAGTTGGTATTGTGTAATAGAACCTAAATGCCTCGAAGGCACGAGAAAATAGGTTTGATAAGGGAAAGTTCGCCATCTTTGATCTGGGACCGATGTAGGTCAAGATAAAACTTATTTGTTTTAAACAATGGTTTATACGAGCTGTTGTTGTGAAATTATTTGTACAATGGTTGGTAGTTTTGTTTGCAGAATAAAAAGGAATGGGTTAATTTCCTGTCAGGTCAATTTTATTTTACAAATAGGGTCAGGGAGGAGGTTTGTTATGATGGCGTTTAGTAGGCATAAAGTTTCTTGAGTTTATTTGCAAGAAAATGCAAAGTAAGCTTACTTACAAGCAAGTAGTAACTAACTAGGTTCTTCTATAGTGCGTACAGCCAAGTAGAGGAACCCCTGTGCCTAAGTCAGTGTTTCCGAAATTCCCTCACAATCGAATCTTCCTTTGTGGGAGAAGATGCCTGCTTTACTCGTTCTGTCAGAGTGAATAAGCATATTCTGAGCAAGATCGTTTTATCATTCAACGTACTTTTCTGATGAAATGTAGGTAAAAATAATTAATGTAAAAAAAAAATACGAACTTTACTGTGCGGCACGGGTGTAAAACTTTTCGTGGACTTTTTTTTATTAGAATAGTTTTACATCTTTCACTTCATGCAGTAGGTACCTATACCTTTAATTTTATTGATAGTTGGGACGTGGGTCTTAACAATTTGCCAAAATCGAAGTAGGGATAAACCCCTCAGATCAGGGTTTCCCAAACTATGGGTCGCGAGCGAACATTGAGTGGGCCCTGCCTGTAGAACGACACACCACCCTACCGATCCAACAACTGGGCATCGGGCGAAATTTCTTATAGGTGGGTCCCGAGTGGGAACTTGTATTAGATGAGTCGTAGCCCAGACAACTTTGGGAACCACTGCCTCAGATTTATCTTCATCTTTATTGGTATGAGATGGGGGAATGTTAAAGGTCACATGTTTTCTTGAGAAACAAAATAGCTGAGAATCCCTTTTCTCCGATATTCACTAACCAGCTTCTATTTCCAATCTGAATTTGATAAATAATGAAATGAATCCTTGTTTATAGCAAGACTAGCGGCCGCCCGCGACATCGTACGCGTGGATCTCGTTTTACCTCCTTAGGGGTGGAGTTTCGTAAAATCCTTTCTTAGCGGATGCCTATGTCATAACATCTACCTGTATGCCAAATTTCAGCCCGATCCGTCTAGTGGTTTGGGCTGTGCGTTGATAGATCACTATGTCAGTCAGTCAGTCACCTTTGAGTTTATATACATATATTTAGATTATTATTAGGTACATAGATCACAAATATCTCAATAGATGTAATGAAGTAATATCAAATTCATAATCATAAATAAGTACACTTTGCCTGGGAAATTGTAGAGCCCTTAGGATATTTCTGGGGGCGTATTTGATTATTAGTTTCAGTGTCTTTAATAGAGATGAGTATTTGTGGGAGGTATTAGCTTTTTAGTATACAAAAGAACATGAATAATAACTAAATCATAATTAATGTTATTTTTCAAATATTTTCTAAGATTCAAATTTGTTGTGTATGTTCACAAACATACACAACAAATTTGAATGTGTTGTGGGCACCTATGAAGCTTTTTTTTACAAATAGGATGGAGATAAAGAGATATATTATATCGGTTGAGTAAGACTTAGTACGCTATAATATCGTCAGTTGCAGGTTCACTTGGGTTAACTGACAAAATACGGTTTTTGAGTTAAATATACAGTTTTTCTTAGTTTTTTCTGCTCTTTCGAATGGTATACTTAAAAAAATTCTAGCTTTAAAAAAATTACACGGACATTTTCAGGTGTGAACTTTTCAGATTTCCTTCACAATTTTGGTGTAACTGACATTGTAATAATTTTACCAGGTTGAATTGGTGTATCTGTAATAATGTAAAAATTTTGCTACAAAACTTTGCAATTACACTGATTTGCTAAGGTTTATAACATGAAATAAAATAGGAATTTAGAAAGTTTTAAGGCATATAACATTATTATTATACCAGCAGTATCAGTTAAAGAAGTTAAAGTTAGCTCAACAAAAAAAATAATTGAAATTGAGCAACTTCCCAGCCAACTAGGCGTCACTGCGCGTTGCTAACATTAAGCTGTTGTTACTCTGTTACTTTTACTGTTGTAGTACTCATGACTTTAATTCAACATTGCTATAAAGAGGTGGGAAATTAAATCCATTTTGTTTACAGTTTAAGTTGCCCCGTAGAGCTAAATACGGTATTGGTAAGTCAAAGCTTAAAAAAATATTGAAATTACTTAGTTTCACAGTAATACATTAGTTATTTCAATATTTCTGTCTTAAAAAAATTAAATACACATATTTTCTTGATTCCCATGGCTTTTTTAACATTTTTTAATGAATAAAATAAAAGTTACTTCTAATAAAATAAAAAAAAAACAAAGAAAACGACAAAATGTTATTTTTTTCATGAATTCTCTTATTTTTTAATACTTTTACATAAATTATACAGCAACTAAGTAAACAAAACCCAGCAAAAACATCAAATTATTTTAATTTGGGCAGTACTTACACCAATTTGACCTATGTTTTTTCCAAAAGTATGGTGTAAAATTAGTGTAACTGTCAAAAGTACAAAAATACATTGGTGTAACTGCAATTTATTTCCTTAACTAAGACATATTAGATTATTCTTTTTATTTAATCTAAAACCGCGTAGAATTCTAAGCATTACTGTAAAAACAGATCCAAAAAAGGTTAAATAGGAAAAAAGTTATGTCCGATTTAAGACGAAAAAAAACTTTAAACGGCTCTACTGAAAAACTGTATTTTGTCAGTTACCCCAAGTGAACCTGCAACTGACGATATATTGACGCAGCGACTATAACTAATACTAATAAATTAAAGTGGATAGCAAATAATAGGTTGGCAGCAACGGTGGAGAACAGTATTAAGTAAAAACTAATAGCATTAAAATCCATTATAAGCTTTGGTTTAATTTAAACTATTCCCTTCTGAGGGTAAGTATTGTACTGCATTATAGAGAACTAAATTAAAACTACATACATACGAGTATAAACCATACGTTTTCCGGCGAAATTTATAGAAAGTGCTGGATGTGCTCCTTATTCATTCGGTGTTCGAGCTATAAATCTTCGAGCTAATAATAGCTTAAAAGCATGTCCCAGACACGGCTGAGTTATCGAGCTGGTAAATAGATTGCTGCTAATCGGACAAACATTCCTGTATTTACCGATTCTCGTTGCTACTTGAATTGCTAGATGTTGTTGATATTTGTCTAATATAACTAAAATAGATAACTTTATGTCGACCTCTACCTCGATCTAACTGAAAACTGTTTATTCTATTCAAGTTGTGTTCAAGAAATGGTTAGAATATTGATTTTGTGAAAATAGGTTCTATATTGGCTCACATAAAATTCTAAATCCTATTCTTTGTCTTACTACCGATTTGTGTTCATAATAATCTCTCTTCATAATTTTATTTTTCATACTTTTTTTATTCATACATTTTTATTACTACCATCGGAGCTCATAACAGTTAGTAATCATAATTTTTTTATCAATACTGTTACTACTAAGAACCATTTAAAATACATAATTTTTATTTTCAGATCTTTTTTTTTCATAACATTCATTGATCATATTGTTTTAATTAATAATGTTGTTACTAAGAACATACTTCAACTCATAATGTTGTTGTTCAGAATAATTTACTTTATAACAGACATACTCGTATCTTTAAAAAAATCATATTTAATTTAATAGAGTAGATAAGCATGCAGAGCATGCAGCATGCATTGGTATCTCCTCGTCTCCGGCGCTGCGGGATGTGCAGCCCTTCCGCCCTTGCGTAACGAGGCTCAGGCACCCACGCTTGCTTCCGCAGCTTCGGCTTTTTGGATCGCCATCGGCGCCTTCGGCGCCTCGGCGACCAGCCTCAGCCGCTCCAGCTCACCCGGGCGCCTGAGCCTCGTTAC